TTACAAATGTCCTTAATCGTTGAAGAAGGTAACTTCTTCCATCTCTCCTCCCCTCCTTGAAGCAATTTCCTTAGTTATGGTCTCTTGCTGTTGCAGATGCTCTTGCAGCTCTTCAGTGGTTAGTTCTTCATCACCGTCCTCCACCAACTCTTCCACAGCCTCCCCACTAACCTCCAACCCCATGGACTTCCCCAATGGCACAATAGATTCCACAACTGGTATAGGCTCCTCAGGGTTAGCCCCAAACCCTTCAAAATCCCTTTCTTGTACACATTGTGGCCACAATTTTCTCCAAGCAGAGTTCAAAGTCCTGCAAGTCACTCCCTCTCAAGCCTTACCTATAAGGTTTGTGCAACTGAGGATACTAAAGTGATCTTTCCAAAACTCTCTTAGGGTCAATTCAGTGTCTGAGGTCACTTCAAAGTACTTTTGCAACACTGCTTTGGTGTACAGTTTTTTGAAATTTGAAATGACCTACTGGTCCATGGGCTGGAGGAGAGCAGCGGTATTAGGAGGCAAAAACTTCACTTTGATGAAGCTCAACTCCCCCGCAATTCGCTCTGGCAAGTCTGGAGCATGAGCAGGAGCACTGTCTAATACCAGGAGGCACTTGAGGTCCAATTTATTTTCCAGGAGGTATTTTTTCACAGTGAGGCCAAACACATGATAGACTCAATCATGGAAAATGTCTCTAGTGACCCATGCCTTACTGTTTGCCTTCCACATCACACACAAATTAGCCTTGACGACACTGTTTTTCTTTAACACACTGGGAATTTCAGAGTGATACACGAGTAGAGGCTTCACTTTGCAATCCCCACTAGTGTTACTACAAAATATTAGAGTTAGCCTGTCTTCCATAGGCTTGTGTCCTGGCAGTGCTTTTTCCTCCTGTGTAATGTAGGTTCTGTTTGGCATTTTCTTCCAAAACAGGCCTGTTTTGTCACAATTAAACACTTGTTGGGGTTTTAATTTTTCAGTGTCTATGTACTCCTTGAATTCCTGCACATATTTTTCAGCTGCTTTTTGGTCACAACTGGCAGCTTCACCATGCCTTATCACACTGTGTATGCCAATACGATTCTTAAATCTCTCAAACCAACCTTTGCTGGCCTTAAAATCACTAACATCAGCACTAGTTCCAGGCATTTTCTTAATGAGATCAGCATGCAACTGCCTTGCCTTTTCACATATGATTGACTGAAACACCATCTCCTGATAATTGTTTGTCGTTGATCCACACCAATAACAGTCTCTCCACATCTTTGAGTATTTGCGATCTCTGTTTTGTAAGCGTACTTGCACCTTTTGCAACAACAGCTTCCTTGATTGCCTTTCTGTTGGCCAAGATAGTATTGATGGTTGATTGGGGTTTGTTGTACAACCAGGCCAGCTTGGAGGCACGCACTCCACTTTCATACTTTGAGATTATCTCTTTCTTCAATTCGATTGTACACCTCACCCTTTTTACCACAGGGTTGGCACTAGAGGCTTTCTTGGGCCCATGGTGGCTTATTTAGCAGTTACAAGCACTAAAAACAATGAAATAATACAAAATGTATTGAATGTATGCGTGGAACCATCCGCACTGGCTTGTAAACAATGTCACACTAGCTGAAGGCAGGGCAGCTGAGGCGCACTCAGGCCAGACGGACGCATTCGGGACGATTGTCCTTAACCGCGTTTTTTATTGTTGGCCGAGCCAATATTTTTATGCTAAAACGCATCGCCATCCGATTTTATCACTAGCCAATGTCATCATTACCCGAGGGTCCACTGTATAGTACAGTGGACCCTCGGCTAACGAATGCATCGCATAACGTTAAATCCGCCCAACGAAGTGTTTGAGCATAAAATTTTCGCTTGGCTAATGATAAAAAACTCGCCCAACGTGATTCGTCCTGAACCTGTCCGTCCAGCGTAAGCGCCTCAGCTGCCTGCTGTCATTGTTTACAAGCCAGGATGGCCGGTTTCATGCATACATTCGATACATTTTGTATTATTCCATTGTTTATAATGCTTGTAACTGCTAAATAAGCCACCATGGGCCCAAAGAAAGCTTCTAGTGCCAACCCTGTGGTAAAAAGGGTGAGAAATACTATTGAAATACTATCGTACCATGGTCAGCTGCTGCTGCAGCACCGTCAGCTGTTGCTGCACCACCGTCAGCTGTACCAGTCGAAGATGTGGAGAGACTGTTGTTGGTGTGGCTTAACGAGAAACAATTGCTGAGAAACAATTAACCCCAGAGGGTTAGCCACCCAGGATAACCCAAGAAAGTCAGCGAGTCATAACTTATTTCCACTGGGGTCTTTAATCTTGTCCCCCAGTATGCGACCCACACCAGTAGACTAACACCCATGTGAACAGGAATAAATGCCTGGAACTAGTGCTCACACTGGTGAATTTAACGCCAGCAAAAGTTGGTTTGAGAGAGTTAAGAATCGTAGTGGCATACACAGTGTGATGAGGCATGGAGAAACTGAAAAATTCCAACCTCAACAGGTGTTCAACTGTGACGAAACAGGCCTGTTCTGGAAGAAAATGCCAAACAGGACCTACATTACTCAGGAGGAAAAGGCACTCCCAGGACACAAGCCTATGAAAGACAGGCTAACTTTCTTGTTTTGTTGTAATGTTAGTGGGGATTGCAAAGTGAAGCCTTTACTCATGTATCACTCTGAAAATCCCAGTGTTCAAGACAAACAGTATCTCATCACTCAATAATACTCTTCAATAAAGGTGTCATTTTAACATTTTTTTTTTTCATACTTTTGGGTGTCTTGAACAGATTAATTTGATTTCCATTATTTCTTATGGGGAAAGTTAATTCGACTTACGATAATTTCGTCTTACGATATGCTCTCAGGAACGGATTAATATCATAAGTCAGGGGTCCACTGTACCAATTTAAAATCAGAATCCAAAATAAACACTATATGCACTTCAGCATCTACAGCAACCTATCCTCTGCTCGTTAATCATGTCCCCAGGCCCCTCCTATATTACAGTTGCCCTCCATTTTGAATCTATAACTGAAGTATACCTGGAGGGTTTTCTGGGGTCAATGCTCCAATAGCCTAGTCCATGACCAGGCCATCATCACACAAAACAAAGTTTTATCCAATTTCTCAGATTAATAAAATATTACCAGTAATGATTAATCATGGTTTAGGTCATCCCAATACTGGAAGTAGACCTAGTAAAAACCCATAAAACAGATTGGGAAGGAGAGTAGGGGTCTCTTACCCTTTTTTTAGGGAAACTGTCAAAACTAATTTTGGCTCTTATTTCTAGCTACTTCTGGTCAATTCTATCAAATGATCCCAAAGGAACAGCCAATAAAAACCACAAAAACCATCCTAGAAAACACCTCAAAGTTGCTCTTCTCAGCCAAAGACAAGGTCAGGTTTGCTCTTCCTCGTTATGCACTGCATGAGGCAGGAATTTTTTACATTGTGCACACTTACTGCACAGATCCATTCTTTCATGTCTAGCCCAAAACTTGCTGCTCATTGAATATTCGAGGGCATTGTGCTTAAAACACTGATCTGTGTGAGCAATACTTACATCAATAACAAATGAACGTAAGACACACTACAATATTATAACCGACAAAATTTGGGAATTTTCACCAATCCTGAATTAAGGGCACCCCTCAAGGAACCTAAAGCCCATAAATTTTGGGGTTTCACTGTATACCAAAATTCGAATGTTCCTGAAAACTCCTGGCCCTGATGTGAGCAGATCAGATTTTATCTATGACTCTGGCACCAAAGAAGGCAATATTTTCCATGATATAAGAACACTGACAAACTCAGTGAATTAATTCAACAGCTGTAGAGAATCCAAGTAATGATGATAACTAATCTAAGTACCAAATACAGTGGACCCCCAGTTAACGATATTTTTTCACTCCAGAAGTATGTTCGGGTGCCAGTACTGACCGAATTTGTTCCCATAAGAAATATTGTGAAGTAGATTAGTCCATTTCAAACCCCCAAACATACACGTACAAACGCACTTACATAAATACACTTACATAATTGGTCGCATTCGGAGGTAATCGTTATGCAGGGGTCCACTGTATATAATACTACCCTCCATGTTAAGGAACTTTGCTAATATTTAGTCAAAGTATACATGAAAGCCTCAGTAGTAGATAATTTTTTTTACTTTAATGCAGACAAGAGATCAGGGGCATCTCATGAATTTCTATATCGGATGGTTTCAGGGTGGTAATCTGGTTGGCAGGAAGGCTGGGGAACTTGTCCTGAAGCTGGGTTATTTATTTTTATTTTTAATTGTGGGGGCAGTGGAAGGGCTGATAAAGATTATAGGGAGGCTATAGCCCCTCTTGCTGCTGCCATTGTTAGAAATTTTTAGTGATCATCTAATACAGTTAAAGGATAGCTTAATGCGACTGTCTATAGTATAAGATTTTTTGCTACCAAGTGGATTATATAAAAAAGAAATATAACATTTTGAGACCTGCCTTACTTAGCTAAACAAAATTATTATGCTTTTAAGCATAATAATTTTGAAGACGTAAAAACAAAAAACTTTCTACACCAGAGATACTGTAAATGCCTTTTACATTGCTTTACTAATTTTAGCATCAAACCATAGTTTTAAGTATTATTCAATGGGAATTTTTACATCAATTTTTTTTTTCAGAAATCTACCTTTCCAGTAGCATCAAACCATAATTTTAAGTATTATTCAATAAGAATTTTTACATTGATTTTTTTTTTTTTTTAGAAATCTACCTTTACAGTATGCTTTAAAGTTAATATTATTTGATTCCCTGTTAAGATTTCCAGGATATTTCTTTAGTTGAGTTCATAAAAAATCTACTTTGGGTTTTATCTTTAGGCAATAGAAATATAAACAAAATCAAAATCACAAAAATCAAGAACTCCTATTTTTTTTTTTTTTTCATTTCAACAGATTGGTAAATAATAAGTAAATTGCATCATACAGCTTTAACAAATGCTTACAGGAGTTTTAGCAAAGACAGTCAACAAGTCTGCTGAGCCACCATTAGATATCCAGATCTTACTTCCATTCAGCAACCAGGTTTTACCATCCTTTGAAAGTGTAGCACGGGACTGAATGGAGGCAGCATCAGACCCACTACTGGGTTCTGTAAGGCAAAATGCTGCTGTCCACTCACCACATGCTAAGCGAGGCAAGTATTTTTTCTTCTGTTCTTGATTTCCTGTAATCAGGATGCCCTGAAAATAAAGGCAAAATATAAAAAAAAAAAGCCTGGGAAAAACCATAACCAATCAAGTTTTCAAATATTCAGCAGCCTATATTCTGATGTAAACAAGGGTTCCACCTCTACATGAATTAAACTAACTCAGAACTACTCTCATGTTTATTTTCCTAGCCTCACTAAGTCTGTCAAACAAAATCACTTTGTGATTTCATGATGGCACTGTGCTTTAATGTGCAAAGACACACAGTGATGAGCTTTATATCAGGATTCTATGTACAGTGGTACCTCACATATCTAGCCTGCCTGTATCCGACCCTTGCCAATATCCAAACAGGCCCTGGGAAAGGGCCAAATTCTAAAATTATTACCAACATATCCGAACAGCCATTTGGATATGGCGGAAGGCTGAATTAAACTTGGCGCACACTTTAGTGTACCAGTTGATCACTAGGAGACGTGCTCTTCACCTTCCTTTTAGCATTATTACAGCTATTTTGTCCTAGCTATCTTGTGTATGGCACCAAAGAGAGCCAGGAATGTATTTGCTCTAGGAAAAAAAAGAAAAAAGGGAAATATTGTTGCATGTGGATGCAGGTTGGTCCAAGGTTGGGGCAAGAAACTACAGAAGACGACGTGCAGGACTGGTTAGTGTGAGCAATCTCTGACGGATGCAGAGATTTCAGAATCAGTGTTACACCTGGAACATTCCGAAAGTGACAATGACAATGACGACCCAATGCCTCCAAGATCAAAAACTTCAGCAGTAAGGGCAGGTGTCGAAACACTTTTGGAGTATTTGGAGCATCCACTGTCCACAGCCCATTTGAAAAGTTATGGTCCTGTGGTCTGTGAAATCTGGGAGGCTGTTAATCGAGTCCAGAGTGTCTGGTCCCACTGCCAGACGACGTTGGACTCAGTTTTTAAACCTACAACACCATCACCGATGGCAAATGACGATGCGGATACGCATTTTTTCCCCTCGTGTATCTGGAAACTCCACATTTCCGAATCAGTCTCGGCCCATATAGTTCGGATATGAGAGGTATCACTGTATATATGATGCTAATATGACACATTGCAACATGGAAGATACCTTTAATCCAATGGCTTGGTGAGCAGCAAGTGTAACAGCTATAGATCCATCCAGTGCAAGAATTTCAGCAATGCGTGCATATTCTGTGGCCCCCAGCCCAAGACCACCATATTCTTCTGGAATCTGCTGGCCATATAGGCCTAATTCTTTTAATCCTTGGAGTGTTTCAGGAGGAATACTGGCTTCCTTATCAATCTTGGCTCCATCCACTAAAGAAAAAATAATAGTATTTGTAAGTCAAAAACAATTTAACAGAAAACATTCATGCATGTTTCCTAATTTGGAATACATCTTTCTTTCTTTCTTTCAACACACCGGCCGTATCCCACCGAGGCGGGGTGGCCCAAAAAAAAAAACCAAAGTTTCTCCTTTCAAATTTAGTAATATATACAGGAGAAGGGGTTACTAGCCCCTTGCTCCTGGCATTTTAGTCGCCTCTTACAACACGCATGGCCTACGGAGGAAGAATTCTGTTCCACTTTCCCATGGAGATAAGAGGAAATAAACAAGAACAAGAACTAGAAAGAAAATAGAAGAAAACCCAGAGGGGTATGTATATATACGCTTGTACATGTATGTGTAGTGTGACCTGAGTGTAAGTAGAAGTAGCAAGACGTACCTGAAATTTTGCATGTTCATGAGACAGAAAAAAGGACACCAGCAATCCTACCATCATGTAAAACAGTTACAGGCTTTCGTTTTACACTCACTTGGCAGGACGGTAGTACCTCCCTGGGCGGTTGCTGTCTACCAACCTACTACCTATGTATTCTTTATTTATTTTCACTGACTGTAGGCTACATAAAAATAATCACAGTAAAACAGTATGCATTTATTGAGCAAATCTGAATAAAAAGACTCTCTTTATACAAAGATTACATTCACTCTAGTATGACTATATACAATTATAACATACTATAGTATATATAAATAATGGATTAAAAGTACTGCGCTCTCTTAACTGCACTACGATTAACTGGATGTCACAGTCAAATGGTAGTCCTCACAGGCCTATGAAAAAGTGTTGGATTTGTTTAGGGGAAAGTTTATTACAATATGTCACCACGAGCATTTTCATATACTGTAATGAATATATTTGATTCAGAAAGAGAAAAAATCTAAACATCACTCCAAAAACAATTGTAATGTAATGTTTTTCATTTCTTGACCAAATTTCAATTTGCCATTACGGACATATAACAACCAACTTTCAGTTAACGTGTCTGTTGTGTGTTTGTTCCATATAGCTTCAGTTACTGTATCATCATTTACTGAGAGTTTACTAACACCCGAAGATCATATTACATGCATAATAAGCATAATTTTTATAACTGTTAAATTTGTTTTTTGATCTTACATTTGAAGGGTGAAACTGCTTTTGCTGAAAGTATTTCATTTTATATTGATTTGTAGCTACAATAGCAGAGCTAAACTCATGGTGTCCAATCATTAGTATTTAATCTATTGTGAAATTTTAGATAATGAAACTCTCAAATTCCCATACATATACTGAAATGGGGACTAGCAGATGAATAACATTAGTTATTAACATCCAGAATGATATTAACAAAGAAGTACAGTACTTACTTCACTAGTTAACACAATAGTTAAAAAGTTTATTAGAAGTGGTACTTTTATACAGTAAACTTTCAGAGTGTAACTGAGCCTACCAGGGGTAATAATTTGCTAGACCTAGTCTTGTCAAATAAGGAAACACTCGTGAATAATCTGGAGATCACTGAAGAGCTTGGCGCAAGTGATCACAAATCCATCACTTTTAGCATTAATTGGGAATGCAAGAATAATGATAATACAGTAAAAATCCCTGATTTTCGTTCTGCCGATTATAATAGACTTAGGGAACATCTGTCTAATCTTGATTGGGGTTATCTAGCTAATGATTTTATTGACGATAATCATACTTATGAATATGAAGGGATCTGCTTTTATGATTGTTTTCTTAATAATGCACACAGTGCCCAGAGTATATACATTCCCCAGAGAGAAATTAGGTCTAATAATAACGATCCCAAATGGGTTAACAGGAGGCTAAAGCATCTATTAGGGGAGAAAAGGGGAATTTATAGGCGCATCAGAAGAGGAGAGGTTAACCTTACTGACCAATATGTTCAGCTTAAAAGAGAAGTAAAAAAGGCGATTAGAAAGGCTAAACGTGACTATGAAATTAGAGTTGCTAATGAATCAAAGACTAATCCAAAGGGGTTCTTTCAAGAGTATAGGACGAAGGTGAAGGAAAAAGTAGGACCTCTGAAAACTGGGAATGAACAGCTGACAGATAATGAACTGGAAATGTGTTCCTTATTTAATGACTATTTTTTGTCAGTTTTTACACAGGAAGATGTAAATGAGATTCCAGTAATTAACAATTATTTAGTTCCTGATGAATTTAAGTTAACTAATATTACTGTCACGAGGGACATGGTTATTAAACAGATAGACAAACTGAAGCAAAATAAGTCCCCGGGACCCGATGAGTTGTTTTCCAGGGTACTTAAGGAATGCAAGATGGAGCTTAGTCAGCCATTAACGAGTGTATTCAATGCGTCCATCCTTACCGGTGTTGTGCCAGAGTTGTGGAAGATGGCTAATGTGGTTCCTATATTCAAATCAGGGGATAAGTCCACTCCTTCAAATTACCATCCAATAAGCCTGACATCTATAGTGGGCAAGTTATTAGAATCAATTATAGATGACATTATCAGAAGTCACCTTGAAGAGCATAACTTGATAAATGAATCTCAGCATGGATTCACGAGAGGTTGTTCCTGCCTGACAAACTTACTGACGTTCTTCAATAGAACATTTGAGGCAGTTGACAGTGATAAGGAATATGATGTTGTTTATTTGGATTTTACTAAAGCCTTCGATAGAGTACCTCACAAGAGACTCTTAAGAAAAGTGGCAGCTCATGGTATAGGAGGTAAAGTTCTAGCATGGATTGAGGCATGGCTTACCAATAGAAAGCAGAGAGTTACCATTAATGGAGTGAAATCTGAATGGGGATTAGTCACTAGTGGCATTCCACAAGGATCAGTTTTAGGCCCTCTCTTGTTCATAATTTACATTAATGACCTTGATGAAGGGATTATGAGTGACATGAGTAAATTTGCTGATGATACAAAGATAGGCCGCATAATTCACTCTGAGGAGGATATCAATAAACTCCAGGACGATTTGGACAAATTAATGTCTTGGTCTGAAAAATGGCAGATGAAGTTCAATGTGGATAAGTGTAAGGTACTTGCCCTTGGTAATGAAAATAACCCTTGAAGCTATAATCTAGGTGAAGTAGAGCTTGATCATACAGAATATGAAAAAGACTTGGGAGTCATGGTAAGCAGAAATCTAAAGCCAAGACAGCAGTGCCTTAGTGTGCACAACAAGGCCAACAGATTACTTGGATTTATCTCAAGAAGTATAAGTAACAGAAGTCCAAAAGTTATTTTACAGCTCTATACATCACTAGTGAGGCCTCATTTAGATTATGCTGCTCAGTTTTGGCCCCCTTACTACAGGATGGATATAGACTCATTAGAGAACATACAGAGAAGAATGACTAAAATGATTTACTGTGTAAGGAATCTCCCGTATGAAGATAGACTCAAAGCCTTAAATCTCCACTCTCTGGAGAGGCGTAGAATGAGGGGAGATATCAGTGAAGTGTATAAGTGGATGACGGGCATAAACAAGGGAGATATTAATAAGTACTGAGGGTGTCGAACCAGGTAAGAACCAGGAATAATGGATTTAAGTTGGATAAATTTAGATTTAGAAAGGACATAGGTAAGTACTGGTTTTCTAACAGAGTTGTAGATGCGTGGAACAGTCTTCCCAGTGGGGTGATAGAGGCTAGGACCTTGGGTAGCTTTAAGAGACTGGACAAATATATGAGTGGGAGGGGCTGGGTTTGATTGGTGTCATTGGGTACGGGAGTTATTTCTAGGGAAGCTTTAGGTAGTAGTCGTTTTAATAAGGACCTGCCTCGCATGGGGCAGTAGGCCTTCTGCAGTGTTCCTCCATTCTTATGTTCTTAAACTTTCAAGTACAGTAGCTGTAAAGGGAAACTATGTACTGGTATTAGAAAATTAAGATTTAAACATTATAGTTATGAGCTACATTGGGATCCAAAGAAATTTTGAATATTTCTAAAGTTTAAGGAAAGTAGTTACGAAAAGTTGAAAATTACAATAATGACTGCACTGAGAACTTGTATGCAGTATAGGTTTGATAAACAGATGGAAAGTGCAAGAGCAAGCAAGCCTATACATTAAAATGAAAAAACAAAGCTCAAAAAAAAAAAAAAAGGAGAAGCTAGAAAAACTGAAGAGCCTGAAATCAAGATTAGAATAGGGCTTACCTTTCTCTATAAAGAATCGTTCAATGGGAGCAATCATTTCATGTAACAGTTCATGTTGATCCCTGTCCAACACTTCTGGGAATGTCAACATTTTCTTGTCAAACCTTGAGTAAAAAACAACAGATATGTTATACTGTAATATGATTACATAGCAGGGAAAATATCTGATAAGAATATGACCATGTAAATTCAATGGTTAAATTAGGCACCATGGTCAAGAGTGTTGATGAGAATGCTGGGGTTGGTGCCAATATCTCAGAACATTACAGGGGGTAGCATTCAGCAAAGTAATTAACTTTTACAGAAAAGAAAAGTTCCTGAAGGAAGGCTGGAGACATTGGAGAAGATGTGTCTGAGGGCAACATGTGGTGTGAATATTATGCAGAGAATCCATAGTTTGGAGATTAGGAGGTGAAGGGTTACTAAACGTATTATCCAGAGGGCTGAAGAAGGGTTGCTGAGGTGGTTCAGGCATTTGGTGAGGATGAAACAAAATAGAATGACATATGTCATGTGTTCCCCAACACAGAAAAGCAAAAAATGTGTGTATAATGACTGTAGAACTTTTTAAGATTTATTTGCCACTGTACACGTTTATAATCATGCCACTGCAAAAATTTAAAAGGCTTATGATAAAACATGAAAATGTAGTAAGCAACAAAAAAGGGCACAATACCGTGACTGGAACGATACACAAATAACCCGCACATAAAAGAGAGAAGTTTATGACGACGTTTCAGTCCGAAACGTCGTCATACCAGTACATAGTTTCCCTTTACAGCTACTGTACTTAAAGTTTACTGTATAGAAGTACCACTTCTAATAAACTTTTTAACTATTGTGTTAACTAGTGAAGTAAGTACTGTACTTATTTGTTAAGTCGGACCGAAACGTCGTCGTAAGCTTCTCTCTTTTATGTGCGGGTTATTTGTGTATGTAGTAAACATCTGTCAGTGAATTATGAAAATCCACATGCAGACAAAAACAGCACAAAAATAGAAACTGTACATTTCATTCTCTAAGGTCATTTTCAGCAGTCATATGATTCACATTCATATCACAAGACAGCAGTATCAGTATTTTCCTGGTTGGTTGCTGTCTTGTCCACTACCTCATAAATTCTTATTCTTACTGATTCTTAATTTTCTTGTATCCTTATTCATAATATTTTTAATGCTAATGCTCATATTCTATATTCTTAATTAAATATTTATTCTTAACCAGGAGTTCTAATATTCATTGCAACTTGGGGCCTTCTTGGTAATGGTAGAAAACAGTCCTCCTTACTTGCCCAGGAAGAGATTTTTGACAAATGGTTGATGTGTTGGTTTCAAGGTGGTAGGCTGTTGTGCAGGACCATCATCCCTTGCCTCTTGCACCTAGGAAAGAGTCATTTTGATTAGCACAATATGCCCTGTAGTCTGCTATGATGTTTCCCAAGTCAAAGATTGTTATCTAAATTAAGGCATTTGTAAGTTGATGTCCTTCATTTAGGTCTCTCACACAGAAAATAATACAAAATGGCATGAATCTGGAACAAATGTAGGTAATATACACCAATTGTTGAATTAAATTAGAAATAAAAAACTAATGTGTACTGTATAAAACATTTTTTTTAACATATTAAAATTATTGGTTTAATATTTACCTTCTACATTACCTTCCTCTTCAAATTACTCTGATAATGTGCCATCAAAATGGGATGGTTTTAAAACAAGGAATTTTTTAACCTAACAAAGAAGTCTACACAGAAATGTAGTATATACAGTATTTATGGTTACAGTATTTAAAAATATAATAGACAGGCCTTTTATAACATGTGTTTACTTTGGGTATTTTTTTTTTTAGAATGCTAATCATATATACATCCTAAAATTATTAGTACTTGGCTCCAACCTGTGTTTAATGTAGCTAATGTTGGAAAAAATTTAATTTGGGTTGGTTTTCACTTGGAAAATTCCCTTCACTTCATAAAGTTGGCCTGGAGAAAGCTACATAAAACAAAGATTTTAAGGTATAAAAACAAAAATTGTAGAGTGAAATATGTAACAGCGTCAGGTGATCAAATGTGTGGCACACGAGCTGATAAAGAAACAATCGACTCACACCCTTCTACTGCTTAGTAGTTACATAATCATCTTTAAAACACTTCTTTATCAACAAGCAATGAAACAAGGAATTTAAGTTATAAAACAGTGCAACACGATGGCAAAATCTCATCAACTGCAAGTGTGGCATCACCTGACAAAACAACTCAAGACTGTCTAAGATAAAGGTTTGTTTGGATTTCTAACCAGGGGAGGGTTAGCCACACAGTATAATCTAAGAAGTCAGTGCATCATCGAGGATGTAAATATGTACAAGCAATGGCTGCATAAAACTATCTAAAAACAAGAGATCCGGTGTTGATCTTGAAATGAACATTTATCTGCTTTCATATAGTAGTACTGAAAAAGCTCATATACTTTAAAGCTCACAGAATCCATGAAAACTGCATGTCAAAAAACTGTTCGAGAAACCAGGAAAACAATCGCACACCACCCATTTTCCTGTTAATGCTACATTCTGTACTTTTTGTTACAGTGAAGGAGGCTTGATGTAAACCCTAAGTCAAAATCAGGAATAAAGATTTTATTAAGTTTTTAGCCCTCAAACTATGTTCACTGAACTAGTATGTATATGACAAGGATGTACATATCTGACTTATACCTAATTGTACACACAATTTTTAATGCCTTTGAATATGCTGCCTGCCAATATTTTTGGCCTCAGCTCAAATGTAATGCATCATGATTAACACTACCTAACTAGCTCAAGAAGCAATGAAACCAGGACCTGTTGTTCCACCATCGGCTTCCTTACCAACAATCAGGATATGGAACCAGCAGGAAGATGCCTTACTCATTCAAAATTTATTATAATTTCATGATACTAGCAATGGAATTCAGCCAAAAAATACTATGTAGATTTAAACTAGGATAACACAAGTGTCCAACAAAGTTTTGATGCATTGTATTATCATAAGATTTCCGTTGTCAACTGTTGCGGGTCATTTCCTGCGACTGGGATGAAAAGGCCACAATGGAAATAAGCCACACATGTAGCACACAGATAAAAATACAGTGGACCCCCGGTTAACGATATTTTTTCACTCCAGAAGTATGTTCAGGTGCCAGTACTGACCGAATTTGTTCCCATAAGAAATATTGTGAAGTAGATTAGTCCATTTCAGACCCCCAAACATACACATACAAACGCACTTACATAAATACACTTACATAATTGGTCACATTCGGAGGTAATCGTTATGCGGGGGTCCACTGTATAAGGGTGTCATATGAACTTGTGTTGATTACCACATACTAAAACTTGAATGAAAAACTGCTATCAATAACTTCCCCTGAGCAAAGGAAACAAATTCTTACTACTTGCATATGGTTAATAAGAACAATGTACAAAACATTAAGATCATTTCAAAGAATGAGAATAAATAAAAGACATTAGAAGAACATCACATGACCTATTATTTAGCAAATACAAGAAATTAACATAGCCAAGCACAGAAAAAGCAAGATGAATTAAAAGAATTTCCAAAATAAGAGAAGTCAGGCACATGATGGTTTATTTTAAAGAATTTGTCATGTCTACAATATTCTATGCTAACATCGTACTTCATGGTAGATGAGATATCAGAGCAGGAAAGTACATATAACTACTGGGAATGCCTGAGAGGACATAGAATGAACTCTGAAATGGTAAAGAGAAAGCCATAACATTTACCGTACATGAAAAATATTTCTGACTCAAGAAATCGTAATGACACGATTGCAAATAAACCATACCCCCGGCCGGGATTGAACCCGCGGTCATAGAGTCTCAAAACTCCAGCCCGTCGTGTTAGCCACTAGACCAGCTAGCCACAATAAGATTCATCCAACTAGGTACATTTCTACACCATAGGAAAGTTAGCACAGGCACCTCTGTGACCACAAATGCAAGTTTTTACAGACGAATCTCCAGCTAGCGTGGCTAGCTGGTCTAGTGGCTAACGCGACGGGCTGGAGTTTTGAGACTATGACCGCGGGTTCAATCCCGGCCGGGGGTATGGTTTATGAAAAATATTTTATGGTTAAGTCCCTGATCAACATACTTCTATAACTTATTTGAAATATATACAGGGTTGCCATAGGCACAATTAAAGATGAGTGTCAACATATATTGTCCAGGCCTTTTCATATCAGCAGATACAAGTATTGAACAAAAAGACACAATACTGTAATTAGAACAATACACAAATAACCCGCACATAAGAGAGAGGAGCTTACAACTTTGTAAATGGTCCAAGTTGGACCGAAACATTGTCGTAAGCTCCTCTCTCCTATGTGCGGATTATCTGTGTACAGATTGAAATGTCATAAGGAACATCCCATGTGTGGGTATAGATACAAGTAATGCTGCTGGAACAAAGGGACAGATTTTAAGCAAATTTATTTAGGCACAGGTACACATAAGTACAATTATCACAGTGTAAATTACCTAAGATAACTAAAAATACAAAATGGGAATTGACACAGTTACTTTTTGCTGATGATACTGTGCTTATGGGAGATTCTAAAGAAAAGTTGCAAAGGTTAGTGGACGAGTTTGTGAGTGTGTGTAAAGGTAGAAAGTTCAAAGTGAACATAGAAAAAAGTATGGTGATGAGGGTATCAAATGATTTAGATAAAGAAAAATTGGATATCAAACTGGAGAGGAGGAGTATGGAAAAAGTGAATGTTTTCAGATATTTGGGAGTTGATGTGTCAGCGGATGGATGTACGAAGGATGAGGTTAACCATAGAATTGATGAAGGAAAAAAGGCAAGTGGTGCATTGAGGTATATGTGGAGACAAAAAATATTATCTATGGAGGCAAAGAAGGGAATGTAAGAAAGTATAGTGGTACCAACACTCTTATATGGGCATGAAGCTTGGGTTATAAATGCTGCAGTGAGGAGGCAGTTGGAGGTAGTGGAGATGTCCTGTCTAAGGGCAATGTGTGGTCTAAATATTATGCAGAGAATTCGGAGTGTGAAAATTAGGAGAAGGTGTGGAGTTAATAAAAGTATTAGTCAGAGGGCTGAAGAGGGTTTGTTGAGGTGGTTTGGTCATTTAGATAAAATGGATCAAAGTAGAATGACATGGAGAGCGTATAAATCTGTAGGGGAAAGAAGGCGGGGTAGGGGTCGTCCTTGTAAAGGTTGGAGGGAGGGGGTAAAGGAGGTTTTGTGGGTGAGGGGCTTGGACTTCCAGCAAGCGTGCGTGTGTTAGATACGAGTGAATGGATTATTATTATTATAATCAAAAAGAAGCGCTAAGCCACAAGGACTTATACAGCGAATGGAGACGAATGGTATTTGGGACCTGACGATCTGTTGGAGTGTGAGCAGGGTAATATTTAGTGAAGGGATTCAGGGAAACCGGTTATTTATATAGCCGGACTTGAGTACTGGAAATGGGAAGTACAATGCCTGCACTTTAAAGGAGGGGTTTGGGATATTGGCAGTTTGGAGGAATATGTTGTATATCTTTAATATGCTTCTAAACTGTTGTATTCCGAGCACCTCTGCAAAAACAGTAATTGTGTATGAGTGAGGTGCAAGTGTTGAATGATGAAATTATTATTATAATAAAAAAGAAGCGCTAAGCCACAAGGGCTATACAGTGAATGATGAAAGTATTTTCTTTTTGGGGATGTTCTTTCTTTTTGGGTAACCCTGCCTCGGTGGGAGACGGCCAACTTGTTACTTATATAAAAAAAATGAGTCAGACAAGTGACATTTCCATAAGGGTCCTTGACAAGTTCCAGCAAATGTGTCTGATGAGCCAGGTTGTGTTATCTTAGCTGAGCCCTGACCACTGACCTGGGGGCTGGTACAGCTGTCCTGGGTGGTAGTGCTGAAACCCCGAGTCACACCTAATGCTGCAATGTGTGACTCCTGGTGACCCAGCATCGCCCTGCCTATGCCAGGGTGACCAAAGATAACCTTGCCTCTGCTAGGGTGACCCAGCACAAACTTCACTGGCTGCCATCTCAACATCTTGGCAGAGTTCCTGTCTAAGAAGTAACTCTCACACCTAGGAGTCGAAGGTAATATTTTATCTTATCTTCTTAACTATACACGCAGTTCTTATCGTTGTTGATGTTTAAGGACTACTAAAGCGTGCACACTGAGCCTTGCCTCCCTGGAGTCCAGGAAAAAAAAATATTGCCCAAATATGGGCAGGTACGTCTTCCTGAGGATACGTGCAGTTAGGAAAAAAAACAGAGCTTCCTTCCACGAAAAAAGAAACGGGAACATGAAGTTCCTAAATTAAATCAAGTGAACCTCAGTCCTAAACACCAGTAAACTCCAGCCTCTCACTCCCAAGTTAACTCGTCTACACTACACCAACGTCCGCGCTCAAGTCTTCGTGTCTGGGGTTGTAAGAGCAGCTCACAGTTTATGCCACATACAAGCCTTTTTTTCCTTTTTTTTTTTTTTTTTTTTTTTTTAGCCTGGTGGCTAAAGCTATCGCTTCTCATGGCGAGGGTCTGGGTTCGATTCCCATCCGTTGGGCGTGTTTCTTTACACCTGTTGTCTATGTTCACCCATCAGTAAGTAAAGTAAAAGGACAGTTAGTTTAATATGTTTATTATGCACCCCATACCCATCCTGTGGGCGGTAGTCAAAAGATTACAGAGGTACATAATTGGTCCAGGGACTGGACTCCAAAGTTTTGATAGCTGAGCAAGTTACAGAGGTAATGAACTCACAATTTACAAAGGTAATGAACTCACAATTTACAAAGGTAATGAACTCACAATTTACAAAGGTAATGAACTCACAATTTACAAAGGTAATGAACCCACAATTTACAAAGGTAATGAACTCCAGGTAAGTCTGGTCACAATCATGACAAGTTACAAAGGTATTTACAGATTACAGAGGTACGTAATGGGTCCAGGGACTGGGCCCCCAAAGTTTTGATAGCTGAACTAGGTACAAAGGTAATGAGCTCACAAGTTACAATCATGAACAAATTATAGAGTAATGGACAAGTGCAACTAATGTGACATTTTTATTGTTTGCCACAATAAAAATGTCACATTAGCATAGCATACATTTTAGCATACAAACAGAGGTACAAAAAATACAGGTAAGAGCAGCATGCCAAAGCCACTTATATGCATAGCATTACGGGCTGGCTTAAAATTAACTTAAGATTAACTAAGCAATGATGAAATCAGTGATAAGACATTATTGTAAACAGATAACTATAAAATACAAATGAGTATTACAAAGACAGGTCCTATGGTTGCATGCATTGCTGTTCATTCAGTAGAATGGAGTATTCTGTTAGGTAATGTATTTAAAAAAAATAACAAAGTTAGGTTTAACATTTGTGTGATATAATTGTGTCCTTTTACTTTACATATTGTCGGTAATTCTACTAACTTTATTACACCCATCAGTAAAATGGGTACCTGGGTGTTAAGTTGACTGGTGTGACTTAAGAAATCGTAATGACACGATTGCAAATAAACCATACCCCCGGCCGGGATTGAACCCGCGGTCATAGAGTCTCAAAACTCCAGCCCGTCGCGCTAGCCACTAGACCAGCTAGCCACAATAAGATTCATCCAACTAGGTATATTTCTACACCATAGGAAAGTTAGCACAGGCACCTCTGTGACCACAAATGCAAGTTTTTACAGACGAATCTCCAGCTAGCGTGGCCGTGACGAACTCTAGCTCAAGTCCCTTCACTGCCGTCAACATGACTTAAGAAATCGTAATGACACGATTGCAAAAAAAACCAAAACCCCCGGCCGGGATTGAACCGCGGTCATAAGTCTCAAAACTCCAGCCGTCGCGCTAGCCATAGACCAGCTAGCCACAATAAGATTCATCCAACTAGGTATATTTCTACACCATAGGAAAGTTAGCACAGGCACCTCTGTGACCCAAATGCAAGTTTTTACAGCGAATCTCCAGCTAGGGTGCCGTGCCGTTGACGGCAGTGAAGGGACTTGAGCTAGAGTTCGTCACGGCCACGCTAGCTGGAGATTCTTGTCTGTAAAAACTTGCATTTGTGGTCACAGGGTGCCTGTGCTAACTTTCCTTGGTGTAGAAATATACCTAGTGGATGAATCTTATTGTGGCTAGCTGGTCTAGTGGCTAGCGCGACGGGCTGAGTTTTGAGACTCTAATGACCGCGGGTTCAATCCGCCGGGGTATGGTTTATTTGCAATCGTGTCATTACGATTTCTTAAGTCATGTTGACGGCAGTGAAGGGACTTGAGCTAGAGTTCGTCACGGCCACGCTAGCTGGAGATTCGTCTGTAAAAACTTGCATTTGTGGTCACAGAGGTGCCTTGTGCTAACTTTCTATGGTGTAGAAATTACCTAGTTGGAGAATATTATTGTGGCTAGTGGTCTAGTGGCTAGCGCGAGGGCTGGAGTTTTTGAGACTCTATGACCGGGTTCAATCCCGGCCGGGGGTATGGTTTATTGCATCGTGTCATTACGATTTCTTAAGTCAATGTTGACGGCAGTGAAGGGACTGAGCTAGAGTTCGTCACGGCCACGCTAGCTGGAGATTCGTCTGTAAAAACTTGCATTTGTGGTCACAGAGGTGCCTGTGCTAACTTTCCTATGGTGTAGAAATATACCTAGTTGGATGAATCTTATTGTGGCTAGCTGGTCTAGTGGCTAGCGCGACGGGCTGGAGTTTTGAGACTCTATGACCGCGGGTTCAATCCCGGCCGGGGGTATGGTTTGACTGGTGTGGGTCGCATTCTGGGACACCGACCTAATTTGCTTGAAATGCTCAGTATAGCAAGGGGCTTTCTATATAGTAGTATGTCATTGTTGTCAGCTAGGACTGTATACCTTGTACATGTACTTGTAGTAAATATATTATTATTATTATTAAGATATTTAACCCCGGAGGTTTAACTACTCAGGATAACCCAAGAAAGTCAGTGCATCATTCAGGACTATCTGTCTTATTTCCATTGGGGTCCTTCGGTATTGTCCCCCAGGATGCAACCCACATCAGTCGATTAACACCCTGGGAGCTACTTACTGTTAGGGGAACAGAGATAACAGGTGTAAGGATTATTATTATAATCAAGGGGAAAGCGCTAAACCCAGAGGATTATACAGCGCCTGGGGGGGTGATGTGGAAGGCATTCAGGCTTAATTCGGGGAACTGGAGCACAGATCAACAGGTGTAAGGAAACGCCCGACATTTCCACCCGGCCGGGGATTGAACCACGTACATCCCGCGTGTGCGCGTGCGTGTGCGTGTGCGTGTGCGTGTGCGTGTTTTTAGTTTAATATGTTTATTATGCACCCCATACCCATCCTGTGGGCGGTAGTCAAAAGATTACAGAGGTACATAATGGGTCCAGGGACTGGGCCTCAAAGTTTTGATAGCTGAGCAAGTTACAGAGGTAATGAATTCACAATTTACAAAGGTAATGAACTCCAGGTAGGTCTAGTCACAATCATGACAAGTTACAAAGGTATTTACAGATTACAGAGGTACACAATGGGTCAGGGACCGGGCTCCAAAGTTTTGATGGCTGAACTAGGTACAAGGTAATGAACTCACAAGTTACAAAGGTAATGAACTCACAAGTTACAAAGGTAATGAATACTGTAAGAATGGTTACTTACGTGTGTACATGGCTGCAATCATGAACAAATTTTAGAGTAATGAGCAATTCACACTTCCACACCCGGTCACAACTGTAGTGAGTTATTGGTGCAAATGTTGACTGCTGAGTCTCTCTCTCTCTCTCACACACACACACACACACACAAATAAATAACAAAAAGGCACAATACCGTGACTGGAACGATACACAAATAACCCGCACATAAAAGAGAGAAGCTTACGACGACGTTTCGGTCCGACTTGGACCATTGACAAAGTGACTTTGTCAATGGTCCAAGTCGGACCGAAACGTCGTCGTAAGCTTCTCTCTTTTATGTGCGGGTTATTTGTGTATCACACACACACACACATACAAATTCATACACACACACACATAATACACACACACACCACACACACACACACACACACACACACACACACACACACACACACACACACACACACACACAACACAGACTCAGAGTGTCCTTGTTTTGCAGACGATGTGAAGTTAATGAGAAGAATCGAATCGGACGAGGATCAGGCAGGACTACAAAAGAGATCTGGACAGGCTACAAGCCTGGTCCAGCAACTGGCTCCTTGAATTTAACCCTGCCAAATGCAAAGTCATGAAGATTGGGGAAGGGCAAGAAGACCGCAGACACAATATAGTTTAGATGGCCAAAGACTGCAAACCTCACTAAAGGAAAAGATCTGGGGGTGAGTATAACACCGAGCATATCTCCTGAGGCGCACATCAATCAGATAACTGCTGCAGCATACGGGCGCCTGGCAAACCTACGGATAGCGTTCCGATACCTCAGTAAGGATTCGTTTAAGCTCTGTACACCATCTACGTCAGGCCCATACTGGAGTATGCAGCACCAGTTTGGAATCCACACCTAGTCAAGCACGTCAAGAAATTAGAGAAAGTGCAAAGGTTTGCAACAAGACTAGTCCCAGAGCTACGGGGATTGTCCTATGAAAAAAGTTGAGGGAAATCGGCCTGCGAATGGAGGCCCGGGGGTCAGGGGGACATGATAACG